GTGTGGTAAACATCGCCACTGGGGAGACAAAGGCGGTCGGGCGTGGTGCTGGCCTCCCACCCCCTCGTTCGTGTGTACCGTGCCGGCCTTCATAGGTGCTACTCGCTAACAGCACTTGCCCCTACAGTCTGTTAAGGCTTTACGGGGGATCTTTGTCTTGTCAGTGAGTGTCCGTGTCCTTTTTTGACGATCAGAGGAAACAAGAAGATGCTCGGTGTAGTCGGCACTTTGCTTCGTTCATCATTTCGTTTTTTAAAATCCTTTATATTAAGTTCACTTGCTTGCGTGCTTGCTTGCTTGCTTACGACCGTGCAAATCTTTCGGTCGTTTTTTTAACCCACTTCCCGTGATCCAATCGAGCTGACATTTTGCACACAGACTCGTTGTGCGTGACAATTAATGTTCGTGAAAATTTTTTTCCAAAATTTTACACTTTTTAGGACAAAAATATTATATTTCATTACCAATTGCTTAATGGTGGCAGGCAATCATCTGACCCATAGGTGGCAGCCATCTCAAGCCAGAGGACGAGAGGACTCTTGCCGCCACGAATATAAAGGATTTATAGTGAAAAACTTTGTTTTTACTGGTTATACTTATTTTAAATTATCTCCTCTCTCCCCTCTCTCTCCCCTCTCTCTCCTCTCTCTGCCCTCTCCCTCCCATCCTCTCTCACTTCCCTCTGAACCCCTACGAGCTCTCTCCCCTTATCCCCCCACCACCCTCTCTCCTCCTCCTCCCACCCCCCCCTCTGTCCTCTCTCTCCAATCTCTCTCCATAAACCCACTGAGAGACACCCAGATACGGAACTTGAACATTTATACTGGTCGGAACCTCCTGGTTACACCTAGCCCACAGGGGATTATTGTGTCCGTCGTGCAGGGAGGGGCTGGGTGGGGAGGGAGGGGCTGGGTGGGGAGGGGAGGGGCTCGGTGGGACGGGGAGGGTGGGGAGGGGCTGGGTGTGGCTGAGTGGGGAGGGGCTGGTTGGGGAGGGAGGGGTCTGGGTGGGGAGGGTGGGGCTGGGTGGGGAGGGTGGGGCTGGGTGGGGAGGGGTGGGGAGGGGATGGGTGGGGCCTTGGGTGGGGAGGGGCTGGTTGGGTATGGAGGGGCTGGGTGGGAGGGTGGGGCTGGGTGGGGCTGGGTGGGGCTTGGTGGGAGGGGCTGTGGTCACCCGTGTGCCCTTATAAAACTCAACGTTTAACCTACTCACGCCGGCTTGTGCCCGCCCTCACAGTCGGCCATATTTGCGGGAATACACCACGCCGCCGTTGACCCTGGCCATTGACCGAGCAACCCGACGTTCCTACCAGCTCCCTCCGCAGGAATGTGTTTCATTGATGATTATAATCATCATCATCATCATTGCTGTGCTTTAGCCACCTGGCGCTCCACTCGTTGTTGTGAGCGTCGCTCCTCCGCCCTCCGTGTTGTTGGCGGGCGACGGCCTCCAATGCCCAGTAGCAGCGTCCTTCACGAGCCTCCTCCACCAGAGGCCGATCTTGACACCGCTGGTACCAGTCATCGGCAAGTCCACTCAGCTCCACGTCCTCCTGTACCACATCACTCCATCTCTTCTCTAGCCCGTGCCGCGCCCCGTTTAGCCCCCCCTCGAATCCGGCCGAACAAAAGCTGTTTCGGCATGCGGTGGCTGGGCATGCGGGCTACATGACCCAGCCAACGCAGCCTCGCCTGCCGGAGGAGCTCACCGATGGGGCTTTGTCCAGATCTTTCAAGGATATGTGAGCTCCTCAACTAATCCAGCCTGGTTAAACCCAGGATGGATCGTAGGCCAGGCTAAAATGTTCGAACCAGCGAAGTTGCTCCATTAGGGCGGGTCCACGTTTCACAAGCGTAGAGAAGGGAGGGAATGACCGTGGCCAAGAAGACCTGAAGCTTCGTGCGGAGCGACAGACCAGGTAGCTTCCACACAGCGTTACGAACCGATGAAAAGATAATGCCGCTCGACTGATTCGAAGTGAGACCTCTGCTGTCAAACCGGAGCCGGTCATGAGCACACTGCTCAGGTATGGGAAACTCTTCACTCTCTCTACAACCGCCCTATCACCAATTGGGAGTTGTGGGGGTGGAGTGTCCGATTTTACAAAATACCCAGGCAGGTGCTTAGTTTTGTGGGGCTGATGGTAAGGCCCCACCTCTTAGTGGCAAGCCCCAGGTTCAGCAGCAGCACCTCCAACTCCTCTGAGTGAGCAGCTATTACCAGATCATCGGCATACATAACATGGTTGAGCAATAGGGAGCCATCCCTTGACTGCACCCGGGCATCGATCAGCCTCCCATTGTATCTGTACCAGATGGAAATTCCTCCAGTACAGCTATTGAAGGCTTCACGAACCACGTGGTCGAAATAGATGTTAAATAATGTGGGAGCTAAAGGACATCCCTGTCGCACCCCAAGGTAAACAGGGAATGGCTCCGACTCCCGGCCACGTAGTTTTAACCGGGCCCGCTCACCATCATGAAGATCCTTAATGATCATGAGCAACGGGTTAGGGACTCAAAAAGAACGAAGAACAACCCAGAGCCCAGGCCTACTGATGGTATCATAGGCCTTGACCAGGTCAATAAAGCAGAGATGTAGGTCTTGTTGGAATTCCCTCCATCTCTGCTGTAGCAGACGGACAGAAAATATGGCATTTGTGCAGGACCGCCCTTTCCTGAAACCACATTGGGGCTTCGCAAGCCTCTCCTCAGCGTGCCTGGCAAGGCGATGTTGAATAATCCTTGCCAGGACCTTTCCCGGCACAATGAGGAGTGAGATGCCTCTGTAGTTATTACAGTTTGTGCGGTCACCCTTCTTAAAGAGGGGGACCACCAGGGCATCCTTCCAATCCTGCGGAACCCGTCCAGTGGTCCAGACTGTTGTTATGATGTCATGTAGGGCAGTCTGTGCACAAACGTCACCCTCCCTCAGCATTTCGCTTGGGAGATCATCTCTGCCCGGTGACTTTCCTGTTCTCAGACTCTGGATCGCCTTCAGTACTTCCTTAACAGATGGCACCTCAGCCAGCCACTCACAGGGGGTGAGTTATTCATCCAATATCATCATGAGACCTCCTCTGCCAGTATTAAATTATGATAATATGGGTTTCCCCTTTCTGGTAGTAAAACAGATGTTAAGATGTTAAAACACCAAACTGAAACCTTTGCAAAAATCATGTCTGCATTTATCACATATACTTGTGGTGAACATGCAAACAAAAAAAATGCTCTGACAGTATGGTGCATCGTCTTTGAAACTGATTGGTCCCACCACAGACAGCTTTCTTTAGAGCCTAGTCTCAAACAGTGCTAGACCAGAGGATGCCAAAAGGCGAACATAATAATATCATAATTTAATACTGGCAAAGGAGGTCTCATGATGTAGCTGCTCACCCTGAGCTCTCAATGTCCTGAATGTGCATTGTCTTTGTGATCACGGGCCATTGAGGCAGACTCCATCTCCTCCACCAACCATCCTTGCAGCACCTCACGGCTCTCCGAACCTCCGAGCGAAGGCTGCGGTAAGCCTCCTCATTCCCTGATCGTGGGATGCTGTAGATGATGAGAGTGGGCCTGTTGCTTTTTCTCAGCCAGCCTGAACACTTCATCTGTCAGCCAGGGTCTCTGGGGAGGTCTGGAACGCGTACCCAAAGCAGCCATTGCAGCTGCATGAGCCACAGTCCTAAACCTCGCCCATTTACCCTCGACATCAGGAGGAGAGGGGGGCGATGCCAACCCCAGCCACAAGCGATGATGAAATTCTCACTTGCAACTTTCATCAGCTAGCTGAGACCATGCCACTATGGGTTTGAATGGGGTCCTGGGTGTACACCCACCACCGGAGTGGAAGAATGGCAGGCGCATCTTACAGATGATAAGTCGATGGTCAATGGGCAGATCAGCTCCACGGTAGGTCCTAATATCAAGGACATGGGCCCGCATCCGCTGTTCCGTCATTATGTAGTCCAGCAGAAGTTCTTTCTTTGACCCGGCATGCATCCATGATGTTGTGTGGATACGCCGATGCCGGAAGAGCGTGTTGGTAATTACAAGCCCATGGGCCGCACAAAAATCTAGCAGCCTCCTACCATTGTTATTGAGCTGATCTGGCCCATGCCTTCCAATCACTCGAGACTAGGTGCCAGAATCATGACCAACTCGGGCATTGAAGTCACCCAACAAGATGACTCTGTCCCGAGTGGCCACTTTAGCCAGCACCTGTGACAGGAGGTCATAGAAGGCATCTGACTCATCGGCCTTGCCTGCATCCCTCCACGGATGTTCGTCTTCGGTGGGGGCATGAGTAACCACGACCACTACTCCTCGCCTCTGGTTGATGGGAAGGCGAGCCCAAAGTAGTCTGGGGCTTACAGCTTCCCACACCTCACCGCCAAATCAATTCATTAAAACAAAAACAACAAACATTTTTATTTTATTTTAAAAGTTAACGATGATTCGGATAATTGACACGAAAAACGTTGAATGGGACCTCCCTTTGCCAGTATAACAAATATAAGAATATATTTATCAAAACATAATACGTAAAAATGTTTAATATTTATAAATATTTTATATTTACAATATATAAATATAAAATATTATTTCAATTTTTATATTTCTATTTATACAATATAGTATAATTTTTTTATATTAATAAATATAATAAAAAAATATCATATTTTTATAAATATATATTACTATATATATTAATATATTACTATTTTAAAATATATATTATATATATCAAATATATATTATATTGATATTATAATATATGATAAGGTTTCAGTTTGGTGTTTTTAACATTTTAAAACAACATTTTTTATTTAAAAAAACATTCTCATATCACCAAATATGCTAAACCGCTAAACGACATCACTGACCCAACCACCAATCGCCTCGCTCCATCTGTCGCCCGCATCACGTGTGCTGCTCCCGACCAATGAGAGCCGCGCACGGTGCGGAGTGGGCAGGGGAAAGTGACCTTCCCTACCCAAGATGGCGGCCGCACGCTCTGGGCCGCTGCTACCGCAGCTGCTACTGCCTCTCGTCGTCTGCGTCCTCTGCTCCCTCTCGACGCCGGGCGCCGCGCAAAAGACCAAAGAGGTGACGGAGCGCGAGCCGCCAACTGAAGTTTTTTTGTTGTTTTTTCTAAATTTACAACAAAAAACGTTGAGCGCGAAATGTCCTGAACGCAGCCTGCAGTAGGCCGCGCTTCTGTGCGCGCGTTTGTATAACGTAGTCCGCTTAGTCGGGGTCCTCGGTCGTGATTGGTCGAGGCGGAACGCGGGGAGCGCCGCGATTGGTCGGCGCCGACGCTCTCCGCCTATCTGCGCTAGGGAATGTGAAACGTCAGCGGCGGGTTTCTTCGGTTTCTATCAATATGAGTTGGTAATCTTTGGGTCTGTCGGTAAAGTCATCGTCGATTGGTTAAAATAAAATAACGAAAAATTGTTTAAAAAAACTACGAGGTATTTTCTTTGAAACTATCTACGCGACTTCGCCGACAAACCCAAAGAATATGAATTCCTGCCACAGTTCCGGCCTTCATAGGTGCTGCTGCTACTCACTAACAGCACTTGCCCCAACAGTCTGTTACAGGCTACACGGGACATCTTTGTTCGTAGACTCACACAGAGACCCATAGACTCACACAGAGACCCATAGACTCGCACAGAGACCCACAGACTCGCACAGAGATCCATAGACTCACACAGAGACCCACTGATTCACACAGACCCATAGACTCACACAGAGACCCATAGACTCACACAGAGACCCATAGACTCACACAGAGACCCATAGACTCGCACAGAGACCCATAGACTCACACAGAGACCCATAGACTCACACAGAGACCCATAGACTCGCACAGAGACCCATAGACTCACACAGAGACCCATAGACCCACACAGAGACCCATAGACTCACACAGAGACCCATAGACTCATAGACCCATAGAATCGCACAGAGACCCATAGACTCACACAGAGGCCCATAGACTCACACAGAGACCCATAGACTCATAGACCCTATCTACACATAGACCCATAGACTCACACAGAGGCCCATAGACTCACACAGAGACCCATAAACTCACACAGAGACCCATAGACTCATAGACCCATATACTCACACATAGACCCATAGACTCACACAGAGGCCCATAGACTCACACAGAGACCCGTAGACTCACACAGAGACCCATAGACTCACACAGAGACCCACAGACTCACACAGAGACCCACAGACTCACACAGAGACCCATAGACTCACACAGAGACTCATAGACCCATAGACTCACACAGATACCCATAGACTCACACAGAGACCCATAGACTCACACAGAGACCCATAGACTCACACAGAGACCCATAGAGTATTGTCCTTCTCCCGTACCTCCGATACGGTTGGCTACGTACAGTGCGAAATAAGTTCAACATACACGCTGCTGCTGATGTTGATGTTGATGATACATGTGCTTATGTTGAAAAGCCAGCACCTGGTCATCGTGATAATGATGGTAATGGTTATATTGCTGATGATGATGCTGCTGCAGCTGATGATGCTGCTGCAGATGATGATGCTTCTGCAGCTGATGATGAATCTGCTGCCAATGGATATTGGTGTTCATTTTTGATGCCGCCGTTGGCTGATGACGATGCTGCTGCTGATGATGACGCTGATGATGACGCTGCTGCTGATGATGACGCCGCTGCTGATGACGCCGCTGCTGATGATGATGATGCTGATGATGATGACGCTACTGATGACGCCGCTGCTGCTGATGATGCTGCTGATTATGATGACGCCGCTGCTGCTGATGATGCTGATTATGATGACGCTACTGCTGATGATGACGCCGCGCTGCTGCTGCTGATGATGATGATGATGCTGCTGCTGCTGATGACGCTACTGCAGGTGCTGATGTCGGAGAAGTGCAGCAGCTGATGGAGTGGACGGTGCGACGCTCGGTCATCCGCCTCAACGGGGACAAGTTCCGGCGCTACGTGAAGGCGCCGCCGCGGAACTACTCGGTGGTCATCATGTTCACGGCCCTCGAGCCTCAGAGGCAGTGCGGGGTCTGCAAGTACGCCAGGGGACGGGGGGAGGGAGGGGGGGGTGAACAGTTTTGTTGTGATTTGTGTAAAAGGGGGAGGGGAGACTGGGTCATTGTGGTAGAGTGTGGATGGGTGATTGTGTCAGGAGTGGCTGGGTGGGTGTGGTGAGGGGTGGGTGGGTGATGGGGGGAGAATGGGTGGGTGATTGTGGTAGGGGTGGTGTGGGTGTGTGAGGGTGTGGGTGAGTGTGTGAGGGTGTGAGAGTGGGTGATTGTGGTAGGGTGTGGGTGGGTGATTGTGGTAGGGTGTGGATGGGTGTGTGAAGGTGTGGGTGGGTGAGTGGGTGGGTGTGGGTGAGTGTGTGAGGGTGTGGGTGGGTGATTGTGGGAGGATGTGGGTGATTGTGGTAGGGTGTGGGTGGGTGTGAGGGTGTGGGTGGGGTGTGTGAGGGTGTGGGTGGGTGAGGACGTGGGTGGGCTTGTGAGGGTGTGGGTGAGTGTGTGAGGATGTGGGTGGGTGATTGTGGAGGATGTGGGTGATTGTGGTAGGGTGTGGTGGGTGGTGTGTGAGGGTGTGGGTGGGTGTGTGAGGGGGGTGGGTGGGTGTCTTAGGGTGTGGACGAGAGTCGGATGATGTGAGTGAGCTTCGGAGGGTGTGGGTGAGCGTCGGAGAATATTGGAGAGCGTGGAAGGGTGTGGGTGAGCGTGGGAGAGTATTGTTGATTGTGGGAGAGTATTGGTGAGTGTGGAAGGGTGTGGGTGAGCGTGGGCGGGTGTGGGTGAGCGTGGGCGGGTGTGGGTGAGCGTGGGTGAGTATGGGCGAGCGTGGGAGAGCGTGCGTCATATCCACTCCGATGCCTGCTGTGAGCCACTCGTGCAAAGGTTCCCTAAAAACGAAATGCCGTGCTGGTTTCTCTTCCTCCTCCTCCACCGCCACCACCGCCACCACCGCTGCTGTTGATGTTGTTGCTGTTGCTGCTGCGTGGTGAAGGCACGCCAACGAGGAGTTCCAGATCCTGGCAAACTCGTGGCGGTATTCGGGGTCCTACTCCAGCCGGCTCTACTTCCATGGTGGACTTTGACGAGGGCTCGGGACGTCTTCCAGCAGGTTCGGGCTCGCGCGCTCGCTCGCCCGCTCGCCCGCCCGCTCACCGCTTGCTCGCCCGCTCAACCGCTCGCTCAACCGCTCGCCCGCTCGCTCAACCGCTCGCTCGCTCAACCGCTCGCTCGCCCGCCCGTTCAACTGCTCGCTCGCTCGCCCGTTCAACTGCTCGCTCTTCCGCTCGCTCAACCGCTCGCTCGCCCGTTCAACCGCTCGCCCGCTCGCTCAACTGGTCGCCCGCTCGCTCAACCGCTCGCTCGCCCGTTCAACTGCTCGCCGAGCCACTCGCTCACCAACTCAACCACTCCCTTGCTCTAGAACAACATCGGCTCTATCGTGTCTCTCTCATTCTCTATCTCCCCCCTCGTCTCCCCATATACCCCCATGTCACGTACCCACATCGTATCCCCGTGTGTCCCCGCGTCTCACCACATCTCCCCCTTATCTCCCCGCGTCCCTCCGTCTCCCATTGTCTCACAATTGTCTCCCCTTATCCCCGTCTCCCCCGCGTCACCCCACGTGTCCCCCGCGTCTCCCCCTCATCTCCCCCTTGTATCTTCCTTATCTCCTCCTTAACTCCCCCTTAACTCCCCCTTTTCTCCCCCCTTTTCTCCCCATTTTCTCCCCCTTATCTCCCCATTATCTCCCCCTTTTCTACCCAATTTTCTCCCAATTATCCTCCCTCCTTTTCCTCCCCATTTTTCTCCCCATTAGTCTCCCCATTATCTCCCCCCCTTTTCTCCCCATTATCTTCCCATTATCCCCCCTTTCTTCCCCCTTTTTCTCCCCCTTTCTCCCCTTTTTTTCCCATTTTCTCACCCCCTGTTTCTCCCCATTATCTCCCCTTTTTTCCCATTATCTCCCCCTTTTCTTCCCATTATCTCCCCATTTTCTTCCCATTTTTCCCCCATTATCTCCCCCTTTTCTCCCCATTACTCCCCCTTATCTCCCCTATCTCCCCCTGTATCCCCCTTATCTCCCCCTTAACCCCCCTTATCTCCCCCCCCCCTCTCCCCCTCGGTGCAGCTGAACATGAACTCGGCCCCCACCTTCATGCACTTCCCGGCCAAGGGCCGCCCAAAGCGAGCCGACACCTTTGACCTCCAGCGCAACGGCATCATGGCCGAGCAGCTGGCCAAGTGGATCAGCGACCGCAGCGAGGTCACGGTGAGTACATCCGTTATTGATCGATCGATCGGTGATCAACACCACCCAACCACCCACCCGATCTGTCATTGATCGGCGATCTTGCCCGATCCGCTATTGATTGTTATCGATCGGTGATCAACACCACCCACCCACCCACCCTCTGTTGTTGATCGGCGATCTTGCCCGATCTGGTTTTGATCGTTATCGATCGGGTCAACACCACCCAACCCACCCACCCCGATCTGTCATTGATCGGGCGATCTTGCCCCGATCCGCTATTGATTGTTATCGATCGGTGATCACACACACCCAACCACCCACCCTCTGTCGTTGATCGGCGATCTTGCCCGATCTGCTATTGATCGTTATCGATCGGTTGATCACACCACCAACCCACCTACCCCGATCTGTCGTTGTCAGTGATCTTGCCCCGATCCGGTATTGATCGTAATCGATCGGGATCAACCCCACACCAAGCCACCCACCCCGATATGTCGTTGATCGGCGATCTTGCCCCGATCCTTTAGATTGATCGTATCGATCGGTGATGATGATGAGAGAGAGAGACGCGCAAACTACAAATATACAGCAGCAGGGTCAGGGTCGTGATCGAACCCACGACCTCCTGTAGACCAGGCGAGGTAGTCAACATCTCTAGCCACCGTGATGATGATGAGAGAGAGAGACACGCAAACATACATATTTGCAGCAGACATCGTCAGGGTCGTGATCGAACCCACGACCTCCTGTAGACCTGGCGAGGTAGTTAACATCTCACCACGGAGAGAGAGAGACACGCAAACTCCAAATATACGCAGCAGGCATAGTCAGGGTCGTGATCGA